TTAACTCTCCGGAAGATTTGAAAAAATATATGCTTTTTGTAATATTAGTGATGAAGAATGCATGATAGAGTTAAGAGCTGAGGTGCCATCATCTGATGATGATGAAGGTGATAGTGAAAATGAGGTCGATGCTAATGAATTTGTTGGTGATGTGGTTGAAAATGAGGAAGTTGGGGTTGAATTTAAGGATGATGATGATGATGGTAATGGAGTTGAGGAGTTGAATAGGTATGTTAATTAGAATGTTTCTTAATGGCAGTTTAATATTTTAGTTAGAATGTGTGAGTTATTTTTCAGACGACACTTGAAAAATAAAATATTTACATAAAATTGTAAGTGATTACTTATCGGTCTTTAAGTTTTATTAATCCCTATGAATCAAAGGTACAGATGATTAAAAATGAATTTATTGAGCATGAACAGAATTAATGCGCGCAAGATTAAAATATTGCGTGCAAGACAAAAAAAAATATTTTTCAAAGGGCATTAACTTTACACGAGTTTGCTTAATAAAACGAAGCAATTAAAAATACTAATTCTGAAAGAATGACAATGTTACTCGTATAAACCAATTTTCTGAAAAGGATTATATAATTCGTAAATAAGTAAATTTTTATTCAGTAGTATAAGGTATAAACGATCTAAACAATTTTATACGAGAAAATACAGTTATTTTGAAAAAATAAAATATTAAAATAAATTACAACTGAACATATTTCTTGCAGATTTTATTTCATTATTTTATTCTTTTTAAGGTATTTTCTTAACCATGAGTTATTTTTCCAAATAACCCATGGCACTGATCCCCCCCCCCCGAAAAAAAAACAATATAAATTGAATAAAAAACGAAATCTCTGTTTCATAAGTTTTGAATAAAAGACGAATGAGGTAAATAACTTAATAGTAAACAAACTTTTTTTTTAACTGAAAAATCTTTTAAAATACTAAGCAACGATTTTGGAATTTACTTATAAATGCTACTGTAATTATCACCCCTACAAAAGTCTAAAATGGCCATTTTCTTATTAAATAAAAAATTAACACAAAATATAGAATAAATAATTACACATCGTAGCATTTTTAAAACATCTGATCGTTGATAAGTTAATAAATTCTCTCTCTTTACAAATATATCTCAACTTTAAAGAAAAATTTACTGAGCAAAATAATTTTAGTAAATTTTAAGTTATTTATTTTTCCCCTTTTTTTTTTTTTTACTTTTAGTGAGGAGACTTACCCAACATTCCTATTCAGTGATGTACAGATAGCGAAACTTTATAAGATGGATGTTGTACACGATAAAGATTCAATCGAATTTGGCATTGAGGACGATAGGTATTATAACTTTTTTGAAACATATATATATATATATATATATATATATATAGATAGATAGATAGATAGATACAGTGTTATTCATAATTCCCTCCGCTGTAAACGCCATTTTCCTACAACTGGCTTCAGTGGTACATGTTACTGCCATCTACCGGCAACTGCTTAAATTAAGACTCGAATACTTTCGGAATAATGTTCTTTTTTTGCTATATTCGTCTTCGTTTTTTTACTATAACGATTCGATACCCCGGAGGGAATTATGAATAACCATGTATATAGATATTATATATATATATATATAAAAGGAGATAATCGAGAATGAAAAAGAAATTAAAAAGTAAACTAACATGAGCAAATCCATTTCAGGCAAATCCGTGGTTAAGAAATTTTATAACTAAAAATTAACCTTCTCCTATATTCAATAAATATTTTTTAATAAATATTAATAATTTCTCTAAAAAATCGAGTTAAAATGTTGTATTTGAACTTCGACCTTTCATTTCTTCAAAATTTTGAATTATCCAGTATAATATATTAATACCATATAATAATACCATCTAGTATTCGGTCCATTCCAAAGTGAGTGAGAAATTAAATGTGGTTTATACTTCAGTAAGAAGGCAAGTTAACAATATATCCGATTATCATCTATTTACGCTTTAGTTTATATTTTGTAATCTGACAACTTTGTTAGGAAAATATATTTAAATCCTTTTTGCAAGATGTTCATAAGGAGATGACCGTCGACCGCTCTCCTTTATCGCTTTAAGTTCCTATTTCTGTTCTATTTTGCTTTTTTCTTAATTTTGGGGAGAATTTTTGCTTGATGACGTATTATTTTTATAAAGGTTTTTCCTCTTTTTTTCTTTTTTTTTGGTGCTTCTCAGATTATTGTATTGATGTATTTTACTTCGACTAAATTGATTAAAAAAATTGACCGAAAAATCATTTTGAATATTTTTAACTACTTTTATGCAATTAGGATAAATTTATTGATGCAAAAGTTTTAAACCAGGAAACATTTGCACAAAAGATATCGTCAATAAATCTGAAAAATAAAATCTCCCTAATAAATCCATCACGAAATTGTTTCTCATTGTCGTAAATAACATAACGATTTTGATGACTGTAGAGTAAAAATCGAGTTTTCTGAAATCTGCGCATTCGAAACTTTCTCTGATTTTAGACGATTGTACTCTATACAAAAAGCTTATAATTTAAAATGAAGCTGTTTTAACCAAACAAAAAACTGTATTTAGCTTTCTAATAATGTGTTACTTTTAAATTATAGATTGAAAAGTCGTGATGGTCCTTTCTTAAGAGACGAAATAGACTTCTGGCAACGAAGTGATATTGAGCTGACCATGAACGAACAATCTGAAGAAAAACAGAAAGGATGCTTTCATTGCTTCTCTCAAATGTTCAGGAGATTGTTCAGGAGAAAATAAACACCACTGGTCTGAAAGTAAATCAAGACTCTCTTAAAGTAAATCACGAGTCGTCCAAAAGTAAATCACGACTTGGATGAAAGTAAATGAAGACTTTGTAACATCTAAAAAAATTATATTACTGTTCCTTTTCAATGTCTGAAAACTGTCATTCAAGAAAATTTTATATGCAAATATTTAAACTGCTGTAATTCTTCAACATCGGTAAATTGATTATCAAATAAATTACAGTATTTGCAAGTCCAAAGTGTATTCTATTTACAAATAGAGTAAGACATACATGTAATTTACAATCCCTTACTAGTAAAAAGTGATAGTACATATTTCTTTCGACCAATAACCAATTAAATTTTAAAAAGGCAATGGAAATAAATTTGGATCCATACAAAAATAATTATGATATTAATATAGAATATCAATAAATATTGTACTACAACTTTTACATCATTAAATCGAAGTAATAAGTTTCGAGAAAGAGAAACTGTCCTTTAAACCTATTATTTCGAAACTTGGTCATATATCGATGCAATAACATACTAAACTACTACATCAAGCCGCATACTTACAGACGAACTAAAGGCTACAAAACGGAACATAATATGGTTCATCCAATGCAAACGCACTGCAAATGTAATTCCCTTTAAACAGTCAGATGACCACGGTCCTGTGATATGGCTGCGTAATTCTTTTTAAACAGTCAGATGACCACGGTCCAGTGATATGGCTGTGTAATTCCTTTTAAACAGTCAGATGACCACGGTCCTGTGATATGGCTGTGTAATTCTTTTTAAACAGTCAGATGACCACTGTCCTGTGATATAACTGCGAATTCCACAAGTGTGAGTTCGAGACCAATGGCGGACTACATATGCGAATGTAAATGACAGGGCTAATTATTCACGAATTATTTTTTCTTTTTATTAAAGAATTAAAACCAATTTTAGAGATTGATAATTTTAATATAATATTTTTTAAATTATCGATTTAAATATTGCACTTCATAAAAATAGCTCCGGTACACTTATGAAAAATTTCTACAGATTTCTTGTGTGCTCTGTCTATATTATAACGGCCTGTATGTACTTCGCATTTATACAAAACTTTTTTTTAAATTTGCCTATTTATTATTTTAATATACTTAAATGCAAAGTTATAGAATGCTTAGTTTGGGCACAAGGGGGCTAAATTGCAATGTCAAACATTTTTTGTGTTCTCTTTCTTTACAAAAATACCTAATTTTTGCTTTATTTTTTAATTTAAGTGACAAAACCAAAATCTACTTATAGTTTAATGTACTTATAATTTAGCCCAAAACACAAAACTGTTAACGAATTAAAGGGAATATGTTTACAATTTTCCCTATGGTTTTAATTAATAAACAAGCCAGAAAGCATTAGTTCAGAGAGTCGGGGTTCAAACCTAGGATATGTTCAATATTTAAAAGTTAAATTTTAAAAAAAATACTTTTTTTAAATATTTTACAATATTGTAACGAAATAAAAACATTCTTTTACTTAAATTTCTCCTTTTCTAAGTGCATATAATAGCGTTAAAAAGGAGAAATTTTTCTCAGTTATTGTATATATTTAGGTAAAAAGTTATAAAATTTGAAAAGGGTTAAATAAAATAAGTGTCAACAATTTAAATTAAATGACTGAAGTTTATAATTAAAATAGTAATTTTAACGACCTAATTTAATAAAAAAAAATCTAATTTCTTCTGACTTAACAATTTTCAGGATTCTTTTTTAAACATAAAACAGCAATTATTCATAAAGAACTATATATTTTCTTGTACATATAAAGACAACAAAATATATACAGCAGAATCAAGGTAAACACTGTTTTTAAACAAATGACAAAAAAATTAAATACGAAAATTTTAAAAATGAAATTTTACAAATTTACTGGAACAATTCAAAATATTTGCCAATATTTTCTAATAATTGTTAATAAATGCTTCACAAGAATTAGTAGACTCTACCATTGTTTAAATCTTTTTTTTTGTGTCTTCCTATTTTTAAAAAATATATTTGAATTTTTAAGGTGCTGTTTTTAAAAATACTGACGGTAACGCGCAATATTAAAAAAATATGAATGTTATTTATTAAAACTTAAATCAGCATTTTTCCGGACAACCACAGTAGTGCCTTTATATACAATATTATATATCGCTACAGTAATGCTAACGAATTTTTTGCTTGTTATGAAATCTCACCTTTCAATTTTCCAAGTTATAGCTTAGTTTGTTTCCATTTTTGTCCACGAGAGAAAATAATTTTCATTCAGAAATTCCTTGACATGTACGTTTACGTTTTCAAACTTATGACAGCACACAAGATGGTTGCCAGCGCAAAAATAAAAAGTTCTTTCAAAAGAAGTTCTCTTTTGAAAACAAGTTCTTTCTTCAGGAGCAAATGACACTCGTGAAATTTGATTATTCAAATTCAGTTATAATAGTCATTAATATTTTTAACGATACTTAAATGTAAAAAACTGGATATTATAGTTTAATTATGTTTCATTTAAAATATATATAAGCCTAGTAGAGCACAAAACAACGCTCGGAACTAAAGCAAATGACACGTACGTTTCTGAATCAAAAACCAATTTGAACTGAATATTACTATTAAATTTAACTTGAATATTCATCGCAAAACGAATCATCTGCTTTTTAATCAATTTAAAAATATCGTTTGCAATTAGTGTTTGAAACAAGATAGTTTAAAATCGTTTTCTGTAAATAATTGAATTTGATATTAAAAATCCATTGGTACAAATTTGAATTTTAAAAAAAAGAACTGTTTGCTTCATTCATTCACCTTTTGAAAAGATCGCAGATGCAAATTCACATTTTGAGATTCATAAAAAAAAAATTTAATAAATAGAAAAAAGGAAATATTATGAAAATAAATCGGTTTCTCCTTTTTAATTTACTTACGAAATAATTCTTCTTAAATTCACTTTTCTGCTCGAGCCGTAGAAAACTCAGATCCGGAGAGGCCCGAGTTCGATCCAGTTATGACCTACCGAATACATGCTATTTACACTCGAAAAATCTATGATATCGAAAGTCCTGTGGTCGGTCACTGACCAGTACCATGGGTACAGAGATCAGAAGAAATATTCCTTCCCCTTCTTATTCATGTCTAAATTGAGGAAATGACCTTACAAATGAGTGAGAGTGCAATCTCTACCCGTGAGGTTCGTACTTTCATCCTTGCGGTGCTCTCTTTCAAACGGTCAATAGCTAGCGAGTTTGTCTTGTCCAAGTATCATTCGAAAAACTACATGTCTGTTCATTATATCATATTTTGAAATTTAAAAACTGGCTTTAAAGTAGGAAGAAAAATTCTACTAAAAATATATTTTTATGTACAAAAATTAAGTTGTATTAAATTTATTTTAGAATTTGCATCACGCAAAACGAAACATTATTAATTTTTCTGCATAAGAATAGTTCATAATTACTTCTCTAATCCATATTTAACTTTTTATCTCGAAACCATGCTCAAGGCATTAACAATTAAAACAAGCGTAAAATATTTGAGTTGTTAAATCATAATTGCTTTTTAATAAAATAAAAAAGGCATGTTTGTATGGTTTTCAAAAGAATAAAACTCACTTCCAAGTTTCCATATTTTTCCCATGTTCAGTTTAAACACTGTTTACAAGTTTTTTTAAGGGGAAAAAAACACCGAAATGAAAGAAATTGCTTTTTTTTCTTTCAATTTTTAAAACTGTATGTAAAGCGTCATTTATTGAATGATTCTAAACTACTATTTATTGATTCATAATTTTTTTTCCTTCGTTTTTTAAAGAATCCAAGATTAATGCCAGAACCATGATTTATGAAAATTTTTTGTTATAAAGCATGATGGAATTTTTAATTTTTCAATGGATTAGTTACAAAACTTAACCAAACATATATTATCATTTTTGTGATGTAGTAATTATGCATTATTTGTGTTGGAAATAGACAAATAGTGAAATATTTTCCACATAACTTTAGATTTATTCAAAATAAATCCCTGACGAGCCGGCCAAACCTCAAATTTACTGGACTGTTTCGTTCTCCTAATAGGTAAAAAACGGTAACACAATTTCATTATTAGCATTTAGCTACGAGAAATTACACATTCTAATGTGCCGTGTTATATCAATGACACAGGTATTAAAACATCATTACATCTGATATCTTATGGAACTGCGACCCTTTAAAAATGGTAGCTGACAGAGAAAAAAAAACATCCACTCAGTTTAAAAGTTAAAATAAAATACTACTAATTTTATAAAAGGACCTTTTGTATAGAAGTTTGGGTATAAATCAAGAAACCAGTATTTAATACAAGTTTCAATACTCGGTATTTCGAAATTACAGGAGATTAAAAAATGAAAACGGTAATAAGCCTTATAAAAATATTTATATACAATATAAAACTGAAAAATCAATACATTAACATACAACTCTGAATAAACTACAAAGTTAAACTAGAATTTATTACGGAATAAAATTAAATACCATCAAAATCTTTGTGCATATGTTAACAATTAATAATGTACTATAAATTCACATATTTGATTTCTTATCCACACTTAATGCAAAAGTTTCAACGTCGCAATCACAAAATATAAATATCCTAATTTGCATTTTCGCGACTGCTTTAAGGAAGAGTTAATGTTGCGTGGAAGATGCAGTTTTTCTGCATTAAGTTCTCTCAGACCCAATAAAGCTGCCCAGTCTGAAATGCATTTCAGCAAATCTGAATTTCTGAAAGTCTAAGTCATAATATATTTCTTCAGGTAATTCCAATGTTTTAGTTTGTAAGGCACAAAAAGTTTCGTTGAATTACAGAAAGTCTCAACGAAGGAAAATGATAAGCTAAATGATATTTTGATTCCAGAAATTACAGAAAAATCAATGCATTATGCATACAACTCAATAAAACTAGCATTAATCACAGAATAAAATCCCATTCTTTTAAAAGTATTGTGTGTAAGTTAATAACTGATAATACATTATTACTTCACGCATTGTGATTTCTTATCCACACTCATGGCAAAAAGTTTCTTCGTCACATTCAGCAAAATATAAATGTCCAAATTTGCATTTTTGCCACTGCTTTAAGGAATAGTTAATGAAGCGTGTAAGAAAGATTTTTTCAACATTCAGTTCTCTAAAACTCGAATTCGATAAAGCTGCCCACTCCGAAGTACATTTCAGCAAATCTGAATCCCTGAAAGGCTTATAAGTCTTAATGTACTTTATAAGGTTACTCCAATGTTTTTGTTTGTGAAGTACAAGAAGATTCGTACGCTCTGTGAAAGTCTGACGAAGAAAGTACTGAAAAAATTTACTTATTAAAGTCAAACGAACTATTTCCCAATTTAGTTCCTGCATTTGCTGATCAGAGGAAGTTAAATAATCGTCACGAAGAATAGGAAAAATCCAAGACATGGTAGTTTTCATATAAGATATCAATTCTGTGGTATACGGTATGCAAGCAGACTTCAGGTCAGGTTCGTTCATTTCAAAAAATTTTACATTTTCGAACATTAAAATCAATTTAATGAAATTTTTCATAACCATTATTTCTCGATTGGTTTTGTTTTTCTTCGATGAAAGAACAGATTTTAAAGAGGAATAATCATCGCTCAAAAGTTCAGCTTCGATTCTGATAACTGGCAATACTTCACTGGTTTGTTCATTTAATGCTTTTCCTCTGAGTTTGACTTTCCTAACATCGATTATGTAACTTTTAATCAAGTTTCCAAAATGGAAATTTTTTCTTATCACTGTTTCACATTTGGGGCAACTTTTCACCCGAAGATTTTTAGAATCTGAACCTTCTTGGTTTAAATGCCGAGATAGAAATTCTGATTCAAATACATGGTTACAATCTTCCAACAATATATATTTTTCGTTAGATATTACCCTTCCACTTCTTAATGTACGCTTTTCCGTTAAATCGAATAGTTCGTTTTCGGGATCACAAATTTTGCAGACTTCAGGACACGGTTCGCCACAATAGCCTAAACAAGCATGACCACATTCTAATATTTCTGGACAATTTTTATCACAAGGAGTACGATCACACAGTTCATGACACAAACGTGAACACCGTTTATGAATACAGGCCCACGTGCATGGTTTATAGCACGGATCACACAATTCACCGCACCTTTTGGAGCATTTATTGTGGTCGCACCAATTTGTGCACCATTTTTTACAAGGTGGACAACTTTTGGAACAAATCGATTCACATCCATGGCCACAAATCAATATTTTTTTGCACTTCTTATTGCATTCGATGTGCAAACGGCCCTGGTGACAAAGCCCACAGGTGCCTTCACAAAAATGATGACATGGCATTATTGCATCACACGGTGTGCGGCACGTATTCATAAGATATTCTGAATTACCTTTATTGTAACATTTATCTTTGAAATCGTGGTCACAAATAGTGGACTTAAAAGTGCACAATTTTTCACATTTCGTAGAGCAAATTTCACTGCATTTGTTGGTGCAGATATGACCACATGGTAAGAATTTTTTACACTCGTCAAGACATTTGATTTCTTCTATACTCATAAAGCATTCAGTAGAAACGTCATGACCGCAGGGGAGCAATTTGATGCAAGTTTCAGTACATTTTATTTCACTATCCTTGAGGTAACATGCAATATTTGTTTCATGGCCACATGGTAGAAGTTTCTTGCACAATACTTCACACTTAGTGGAACAATTTTCACTGCACTTGGAGGGGCAAATATGACCACATGATAAGAGTTTTTTGCACTTATCAAGGCATTTTATTTCTTCTATATGCATAAAGCATTCAGTAGAAACTTCATGACCACAGGTGAGCATTTTGATGCAAGTTTTATGACAGATTATTTCTCGGTCTTTGCGGTAGCAGGCTACATTTATTTCATGCCCACATGGTAAAATTTTTGTACAAATCGCAGAACATTTAAGCTCACAATATTTAAGAAAACATGCTACTTCTATTTCATGGCCACACTCTTCAATCTTTATCATGACAGGAACACGACATTCACCACATTTTTCAAAACATTTTTTCTGGCATGGGTGATCTTCGGAACAAGATTTCCCGCAAGGCTTATAGCAAGTGACCTTCAAGTGTTCCTGGTCATCAGGATGACACTTTCTAGGACAAACGTGCCCACATTCAAGGCGAAACTCACACATTAAATTACAACCTCCATCCTGAACAAAATCATTTTCATTCGCAACAAAACTACACATTTCTGGGTGATTTTGACATCTAAGTTCAAGTGAGTTTCCTATGCTATTAGTCTCTTTCAATAAAGCAATTATTTTACTCCAAATTATGCTGTTTTCGGCTAAAACCTGAAAATTGCCAATACAATAGAGACCTTTCTTTGCTCTAGATAATGCAACACAGATTCGATTAGGAATTTTCAAAAAACCAATTTCCCCCGATTGATTGGATCGCACGAATGAAACTAGTATTATGTCATTTTCCTCACCTTGAAAATTATCTACAACTGTAATTCTTACCCCTTCGAGTATTCCTTTCGCCAACTTTTTAATCTCAAATAGCTGTCCAGAATAAGTCGTCAAAATTGTAATTTGAGAAGGATCATAGTTTTGTAGAATGAGATATCTACACAGTTTAATTAAAAATCTTGCTTCATGCTGATTTACTTTGCTCTTTGAATCTCCTTCTTGAAATTCGAGATTACTGTGCGATAAGAAAAATACATTTTTTGCGAATCCTTTGATGTTTTCATACTCTGAAACAGATTCATGATTCTCCAAATCTTTGTAGATATGGGGCACGAGTAATCTTGCCACATCAGGTCTCATGCGATGCTGAATTTTGAGCTGTTGGCATTCCATTCCATTTTTTACCATTCTTTCAAACAATGACACATTTAAATTATATTTAACAGATAACAAATGAACAGTAGGGCTGGGCCTCAGCTGTTGATGATCTCCAATTAATATAACATGTTGAGTTTTTGGAGCAAGAGAAGTAACAATATGGCTTTCTAATATTTCTGCTGCTTCCTCAACTATCACAATTTTAGGATTTAAGAATTCAATTATGTGTTTGTACTTAGCTGCTCCAGTTGTTGTCATGCCAACAATGTCTGCTTTTTGACACAAATACCCATCTTCCAAGGATCTCAATTCATTAAGCTCTTTATACAGTTCTCGAAATTTTTGTTGCGTACCTAAGGTTTCCGCTTGCTTGTTTTCTATATACAGTTGCCACCAAAATTTATATAACTGCCATCTTTTATCAATAGAAAGCCTCCAAACATCATTTATATCACTTGCTTCTACTTCTGACATTTTTTCGTTGTCGTAAAGCTTTTGGCGAATGTATTTTTTTAAGCCTTTCTTGCCGCCCTGTGTTTTCCATTCACTTTTTTGTGGTGCAACGACCTTTCTTTTACGCTTTTGCGCTGGTAAATCAAAAGATACGTCGGCGAATTCTTCCGAGTCAATTTTTCTTTGGTCTTCTATGTATTCAATATCATCGATATCTGCTTCATCTAATTCCTCTTCTATATCGATAAAATGATTGCCCGCTACAGAAATTTCAAATTGCTCTTTAAAATAATCAGCCACTTTTTGCAACTCCTGATGTAACCGTATACGTTCACGGACGTCGTCTTCATTTATCAATTTCAATTGTAGCCAATTAAATATTGCTTGATTTCTCTCAAAATTAATTTTATTAAATCTTCTAAGAGAATGAAATTGATGAGATGGTATGCAGTTTCCCAACATCTCTTCGCTTACAACATATTTTGAAGCTACTTTCATAGAATTTCTTTTAAAAGCGATCGCTTTATTCAATTTTTCCAAGTCTGCTCTGTGCGCCCGCATATAACGTTTTTGGATTCGTTTATTTTGCTCTTGCTTGATTTTTCTTTCATCATCAAGGGTGGCATACTCTCTTTGAAGATTTCTTATAAAAAAAGTCACCCAATATTTATAAAGTTGCCATCTTGCAAAACAGTTCAACCTACTAACATCTCTTATGTGATGTGCCGCATTTTCAGACAAAGGAGTACAATACTTTAAGATACTTGAAATACATTCATTAATCATTTCTTTACAGTCTGCACCATTTTTAAAAAACTTCCATTGCATAGGCTCGTTTAAATTTAAAGTAATGTTACTCAATTCGATGGAATACACAGGGAAAAAAGATAAATCAGTCCCCTCGTTTTCCTCATCGGATTCAGAAAATTCAACCTCTTCATACTGCAAACTATTAACAGCTCCTTCAGACAAACCAAGCCATTCGTGTAACACATCGTTCTTACCAGTAATTCCATGAGAAATTAATGAATACTTATGGTCAAGAGGAATGCACTCGCTAATATCTCCAATTTTTAAAACTGTTTGGTTCGACATTTCCATAGATAACCTTTTCGACTCTATCTGTCTCCTTAAATCAAACAGTTCTCTTTGTTTCGATTGAATATTATCAAATACTGAGTTGGGTATATTTGATTTATAGTTCAAATGCCGTTTTAAATTCAATAGCTGAAACTTTTCCAGGGCTTCGGTTTTTCCTCGACCACCGATTCGGACGATTTTTTGAGTGAACACAGAAACACCCTCGAGAAACTGGTCTAAAGCATGATTCGTGTAACACACTATCAAAATTGGAGATTTTTGCAATTTTAAAGACACATTTTTATTGAAATTATGCAATAGCAACTGCACAATTCTTAGGCCGATGTATGTTTTACCAGTCCCCGGTGGACCTTGAATAACAGCAAATTCTTTGGTTACAGCAGATTTCAAAGCAGCGAACTGAGAAGGATCCAGGCTTAACTCAGTACATGATGGCCAAGCATTATCATTTAGAACTGGTATTTTTTTAGCATTTACTTCTACTTCTGGTGGATATGTATAATTTGCATCAGTTACCATTCTACTTATTCTCCCCCCTCTAACTGTTGTTTCCATCACATCCAGTTTGATCAATTGCTTATCTAAAGGTATGAGAAGAGGACGAAAATCATACATAGTACTTTCATTTAAATATGCAGGTTTAGAAACTTCTTTCTCCACGTTTACAATGTACCGTTGCATAGGTAACTTTTCCTCATCTAGTTCAGACAGAGCTTTAAGGTTGTGGCGGTAAGCTTCGAAATAGGCAGTGGTTTCAATGACAGTGAAATTTCTTTGCGGGCTGAGACTTAAAACTTCATCAGTTAACTCCTCAAAACGCAAAATAAGCTTGCCTTCTGCCAACTTCTTTATATTTCTCTCAGCAACAGTTGCAAAAAGCATTGTTTCAAAATCATCATCAGTCAAGCAAAGCAAAGAGCCCGTAAGGAAACGTTTGCTATATTCCCACTTTATGTCGACAAAGTTTGCATCGGAAAATAGAGCAATATGAACGAGACCAGCATTTACATACTGCTGGGAAATAATATGCACGTCTTCGTATACTCGTACATTTTTACAATTTTTCAAAGGTTTTCCACTCTGTTTCAAATCTTGATATTCCGCTATTCCATCACGTAACGGTTTTACGTAATCCTCCCTTAAAAGACGAAATTGCACATCGAGGTAATGTTCTGTGCCTTCGTAACTACCGGCTACTAAGTTAGGACGAAGGAAAGCAGAAGAGCGTATGTCTTCTGCAATCGGCAAAACAGGAATAGAGCGATAATTTTCTGGTGGTTCAGCAAGTTGCAGTTTTTCGTTTTCACACATGGTTTTTGCTTGAGAAGGAGTGAAGTTTTCTAGAAATAAATCATTTCGGTTATTGATGTCATCGAGAGTTTCTTTAACGGCTTCATATTCAGCAGAGTGGACCAAGAAATCATCACAAGTTTTCCGGAGTTGCGGTAATAGTTTAATAAGCAAATCAGACGACAAAGAAGGAAATTGCATTTGAAGCTTAGCAAGTAAACTAGATAGGCTAATTAAAGAGTCGAGGTGATGCTTTTGCGGTGAACCCAAGTGGAAAGATATCAAATACTTTTGTATTCTACTCAGGAAACTTTTCGTATCATTTATTTTAAAGATCAAAGAACGAACGTGAAGTTGCATACAAGCTGATAAAGCTTTGCCAATTATTAACAACATAGTTGCTGTTGCATCCCAATCAGTAGCCTGATGCAGCGATAAGAAAAATCCATTTTCTTCCAGAAGAATAGTTAATAGAAGCTCCTCGGGAGTCGGTAGCAGCAACAAAGATTTCATAGAATCCAGTGACATCGTCTTTGAATCACTCTGAGAAAGGTGTTGATTTTGTTCTACCTTCGGCTTATGATTTTGATTCTTGTTTCTTTGGTCAAAACCCCTTCTTCCTTGAAAATTACTGCGATTTGGTGGTCCGTTACCGTTTGTTCTGTTTCTGGTACCTGATTGGGTATTTTCAGTCCGGACATTTTTAGGGAAATCTAACCGACGACCTCTGTTGTATATTGGATGCATGTTTCTTCCTCGAGCGGACCCACTGAAGAGTGAGTTTTGGAGAGAAGAATCTGGAGGCTCCGTTGATGACATTCTTAGAACAAAAGATGCTTTAAATCTTTAACTCTATCACCTGAAGATGACAATTTCGCAGTGTTTCATAATTCAAGAGATTATATCAGTCTTCCTAATGAGGAAACCTAAAAAGGAAAGAAAGTAGATATTGGTTAATGTAAAAAACAAGCATTCCCGCAAACAGCACAGTGTAGACTAAAAAGGTCATGAAGGTTAAGAGTCTACAATTTCGTGACTAACGATATGATTGTAGCTATGTGATCAGCATTGCGCACAGGCAACCTTTACTTCCCCGGCCAGCTGGTACCCATTGATCTCGAACCGTCACTGGGAATCGAACCTCAGTTCTTCACAATAATTCAGTGCCTAGACCACTGGGCCATTGCGCTTTATATATTAATGTGAGTGATTGAAATAAGAGAACGATCATAGTCGCTTTGGTGAATGTGCACCAATACTAGGTGCAGATATCATTTTGCATAACTAATTCAATATAACACTTAGAAATAGTACATAAATTACCAATCCATTTAATTATGCATCGAAGTAACCACCTGTCTTAATGCACTTTTGAACCCGGTTGTAAAAATTTCAGAAAAAAAACTTTGAAGTTCTCCAGTGCAGCGGATCCCAAATGGTGTTCCGCGGAATCCTAGGGTTCCATGGAAGAGTTAAAGGGGTTCTACAAGTTAGAACATTCTACAACCAGCGATGAGTTTTAAAAAATATATTATCATATTTAGACATAACCTATAATTCATAATTTATTTAATCTTTTGGTTGCCTTAAACAAATTATTTCAAGCCAATGAAACAGAAATGGCATTTTTCAGAAGAAAAAAATTATTTTTTAAAACATTATAACGAACAAATTATTGAAAAGTACAAACATTTATAAAACTTTGCATTAGTATTTCCTCAAATCAAGATAAAGCAATTAAATTCATTAATTTAATAAATAAAAAGAAACTCGTTTCCCTAATGGACATTTTCAACGTTTATAACAGTTCTGTTCATTCTTCATCTCGAAGTAAACAATAATTTGGCTCATTTTATTCATTTTCAACTTATTTATATACACCAAAAACAAATTCATAACTATGCAACATAGACTGCAAATTTAACTGTCGGATATAAAACATAATTTAAGAGTGTTAATGATAAAACGATGAAAAATCTTCATTCCTCTAACTAAATCTTTTACAAGTTATAACGTTCACAATTACCTTAATAAACTTTATTCATAAATTCCGGGTTCCACCTAAAAACGTTTGATTATTTAGGACTCCCTAGTCGAAAAAATTGGGAAACCGCTGCTTTAGAGGACACTTTACCGCTGACCCCTAAAGAAAGGATACTACGAATTAATTTACATTTACAGATATTGTGAACAAGATTTCTTTTCTTTGAAGTCTGCACAGGAAAAAAATTCGAGGCTCCACTGAACATCACCTTTGTATGTATATCACAAAAAAGTAAATATAATTTATATTTATTTTTTTTTTTTGAATATTTATTTTATATTCAAAATATTTATTTTATATTATTTATTGATATATTTGTATATATCAATGCATAAATTTTCAAAAAAATTAACACTTCCATTTCTGAGAAAAAGGAAATTTTCTCTAGAAGTAAAACACAGTCTCTATTCCAGCAAAAAAATAAAAATAAATAAATAAATAAAAATAATTTTTTTTTTCCATTTCGGTCTAAGCTTTTCATTTTGAACAAAAAAGTCAGAATTGTGACTGATATTGCTTTTTTGTACCTAAAATTTTTAATGCTCTTGCATTTTTTTTTTTTTTTAATTAACTGATTATGTTAATATTTTTGGTATCTTTTTCTGCTGTGTGATTAAAATGTGACAAACATGAATATTAAACAAAATAAAAAAAATTTAATTTATTTCGTAAAAAACTGCTTTATTTTTGCAATATCATTTGTGCTTCTTATGCTCCTAATTCAGAAAGTGATATAACATTGTNTTTAAAATGCTAACAGCAATGCTATTTATTAATTTTTTAAAAAAAAAGTTCTTTTAGTATTATAGTATTAGATTTTGGAGCAAGGGACAGTGAATTGTCATGTTTCGTGAGAATCACCCATATATCAATGCATAAATTTTCAAAAAAATAAACAATTCAATTTCTGAGAAAAAGAAATTTCTCAAGAAGTAAAACACGTGGGGTCCTTTGTCCCACAGTCCCCTATTCCTGCAAATAAAAAAAAAAGATTTTTTTTCTTTATTTTTTTTGGTCATTTCGGTCCAAGCAGCACTGTTTCATTTTGAACAAAAAAGTCGGAATTGTGACTGATATAACTTTTTTGTACCTAAAATTTAATGTTCTTGTTTTGTTTTTTTTTTAATTAACTGATTATTTTACTGATTAATATTTTTGGTATTATCTTTTTCTGGTGTGTGACTAAAATTCAAAAAACATAAAAATTAAATAAAATTAAAAATTATTAATTTATTTTGTATAAAACTGCTTCATTTTTGCAATATCACACTTGTTCCTTTCGCTCCTAATCCTGAAAGTGATATAACATTAAAATATTTTAAAATTTTTAAACTTTTCAGCATTTTTTAAAAAAATTGTTTTCATTATAATTTTTAATATTTCTGAAACTTTTTCTGTCTTTACTTATTTTTGCATGTTTTATTATATCAAACTGGAAAAAAATCAAAACTCTTCACGCTATAGGTATTACATAAAATAAAGAAATATTAACTTTTGCAGTTAGTGTTGATTTTCATATTCCAAAATTTAAACAGTAATTTAATTATATTAAATACAATGAAGCAAATTTAAAAATCATTAATTTATTTCATATAAAATTTTCCAATTTCGCCTATTGAATTAGTTTTTATGCTTTAAAATTTTAAGAAAACTTAATTATTTTATGTTTTTAATGTGTAAAGCTAGAATATTTCATTTATATTCTAAGTGTAAAAATTATAATTTTAGTTTTTTGGTTGTTATTAAATGTTTTATAAATTATAATTAAGGTTTATAGCATTAATTTCCGTAAATTTTTCAGTTTCTCTTTTTTTCTACAAGTTTAAACATGGCTGGCAAAAACTAAAATTCTTAAAAAAAATTTCTGTTTAATATATTTTTGATTTTCGAATTCAGAAATTAAGGAGTAGTTTAATATATAATTTTTTGTTAAATATTGAAGCATTTTAAAATTGTTAAACTAATTATTCGCGATGGATAAGTGGTTAGAGCACTGAGTTGTCGTTGTAAGGTACGGGGTTTATTGAGGCTGCTTGAAGTCAAACCAGCTTCAGATTGATGGATACCAGCTTTTCTGTTAAATAAAGGCGGTCGGTGCGTAATGCTGACCATATTTTCACCATCATGCCGTTGGTCACTTAATTGCGGAGATTTAACCTCCATTAAACACATTTTATGCACAGAAAAATTTGTAAAAAGATTATACATTTCACAAGCTAGTTACTTTATCACTTTTGAGAATTGCAAATGTTTCACTTATTACATAAATAAACTTTTAGAATGTTCTTTTCTTCCCTCAAAACATCGTATTAATTCCGATTATTCAATTTTATTTATTTCAAAATCCAAATTTAAACTTTTTACAAGTAAATATAAACTAATGAAAACGCAATTTAACCATAAATTAATGATCATATAGAATTATTCATTATTAATGCATAATTATTTTTAATTTTGGTGCTAAAAGTTAGTAAGCGAAGTTGGGCGACATTCTTGCTTCGTTCCTTTTTCTTTTATTTACGCAATAGAATTTTACTCTCGAAAAGTTTTAACAGAAAAAAACTCTTCGGTTCAAGGGATAGCGTCTTTGACTTCCAATGAGGAGACCAAGGTTCGAATCCCAGCGAAGGTTGGTTGCTTCGAATCCTGCTCCCGGCTAGCACCAACTACAGTGCTGACAAAAAATATCATCTGTGGTAGAATGATCATGGGCTAAAATCCCCTAGCAATCGGACTAACCATTTCGTGGTTTCATCTATGTAACGCAAATGCGGCTTAGTTTAATCGAAAAGTTTTCCACGAAAGCTAGTTTGACCCAATGCTAGATCCAAGAGTTCCCTTGTCTTTTGTGTTGGGTTCAAAATTATATGGACAGAGTTAAACACTGAAAGTCGTAAAATCAGAATTGGGTCGGCTGGTCATCTCCTGTTATAAATAAAACATATTTTTATAACTTCAGCAGCTTGATTTTGGTTAATTTTGATCATAACATACATTTGGTCATAGAGAAAAGTGGTTATTAAAGATTAATTTATAAATATTCGATAAATAGGGTAAAAATTTTTAACAAATATTTAATAATTTTTTTATAAAATAACTATTAGTATAATATAATTATAACTATTACTTCAATTGAAATCGAAAGATTTTTATCTTTAAAAGCAATATGCGTGAGAAAAAAAATTGAGAATATTAAATAAAATAGGATAGTTAAAAATAGAGAAGTTTTTTATTATTATTATGAATATGATGCAGCATATTTTTTTTTTTTTTTGTTTGCTTTAAGTGGCTTAAATCTTTTCCTGCAAATGCTTTGAAAATTTTCCAATGCCTAGAAAAATATTCATGATTTCACAAGATGTTAATTATAATAATGTTTGCTATGTTAGATTACAATTTAGACACGTTTTTTTATTATAGATAAAACTCCCTAAGATAAATTCCAAAATGTGATACATACTTTTTAATTATATACCACAAGGATAATTAACAAATATGAAATATTTTAAAATTAAAATAAAATTTTAATTCGTTGTAGTTTTTTTTTAAAAAAATATCTGAAACATTATTAGACGGAATTATTATTAAAATAAGTTGTAACAAAGATAACGTATTAATAATTGAATGGAAAGTAGCTTTTTGACTAGTTTAAAATTTTTGGAGTTAAATAGGAAAAACTTTGATTATAAGCATGGACATTTGTTTAGGGAGTGTAAATTACGATAAACATTTTAAAATTTCAAAACATTTAAAAATTAACCGTAGGTGGTTATCACGAGATAAGATTTTACCACTTTTAACACTAATAAAAAATTAAAATTTTCCTATTTTTGTAAAAATGTGAGCATTTTTGTACAGTTCATAGATAATAAAAAATTGGAA